CCAGGGAAGCTCCATGACCTTATGGTAAAATAGGAGGCGGTGCAATGTGCTGTCTCAAAGGTGCAGTTCAAGAAGCAGATTCCTGCAAACATTGAGAAAGGTTAAGTCCTTTCCATCACCATAACAACTACTTCCCGTAGTAAGTATTGGTGTGTAGGAGAGTAGTAATTCGCTCTACTGCTGCAACAGACAAAACCCAAAATCTCCATGAAGTTTCTCTGGATCTTATGAAGTTCAGGGCGGCTGTGGGCCTTTCTCTCCCTTGCAGCTTTGCCATTCTGAGCGCAGTGCTCCAGGTTTAACGTAGTAGGGGAGGAGAGCTTGCTGGCTGATTCGAAGGAGAAGGCCCATGCATGGTTCATGCTACTTCTGCTCACATCTCATCGGCCAGAACTCAGTCATGCGGCCCAAACTAACCGGACAGTCTCTCAATCTTGCAATACCTTTGCCGATACCCCCCATTTTTAGTCACCAGAATAAGTCATATCCATAATAATCATGAAGCTGTTATCAGAAGAGCAGGTGGGAAGTCATTCACAAATTCAACCTTCAAGTTGAAAACCCCTTTAAGAGGTGTCTGTGTACCGCCCCTGACTCCAGCACCCACGGTAGAGATTTCTAATCAGTTGGCTCACAGGTCTCCTAGACGCATCCTTAGAATCCCTTACAGGAATGTCACGCAGCCGTCAGCAACAGAGTAACACTGACCTATTTGCCATCCCAAACCTGCGAGAGTCGGTTCTCCAGTGAGACTTGTTTTCTTTCATTCTAAGTGTCATCGACTACTCACCGCTGATATTTGGGAAGATCATGCTGATCCTGAGATTGTCAAAAAGTTGGAATAATTAAGGAAGCTAAGAGGCTCAGTCTGCCATTGTAATTTGCTCACACCTTTATTTCATAAACCTGAACCAGCAAGCATGCATCTCTTTGAACAATTTAGATATAGTATCAGCCTGGCTGAGGCATCTCCTGAGCCTAGTTTGCCTGACTAAACATTTTATACTGAGTGACACTGTGATGCTTTAGCTCGCTTGTCTAGGTCTCATATTCCTGAATTCAATACTTTCCCAAATATGCTATGAATAGATATGGCTCTTTAAAAGAAGTAGATTGTCTCCTACTTCTGTCTGTAACATATTTATCCCTTTTTTAAAATGTTTCCCTTGACATAGTTGGTCATCTTTATTGCTTCCTGAGCCATCTAGTCTCAAAAACTTAACTTTCAATGGCAACTACGTCTTGTTTGCACATTGGTAAGAAAATGTCTCCTTGCAGTGAGTAAAGGATGGGTTTTATTAGAGCTTTTAACTTGCTTAGCTATCTGATAGTAACGCCTTACTTTACACAGCACTTCTCAAGTAACTATCACATATTTGACTTAATAGGACTCTCACAAAAGCCCCATGCGATAGGCTGTGCCACTCCCATTTCACAAAGTGGAGTCATTTGTCCTTAGGTCCCATCACAGGAATTAAAATTAAACTTACTTCTAACTCTGTCTTGCCACTAAACCCTGTATTTTCCCCTTCGTATACGTACTCCAATCTCATTCACTTGAGAGAAATATTGGGGGGGGGAGAGATTTTTTTTTCGTTTATGCAAATTCAGGTGAGTCTGGACTCTGCTGATGGCTGCAGCCTCCAAAACATTCCTCTCTATGAGATCAGCCCAGATGCTCCATCAAGGAAAAAAAAGAATCTGAAAAGCAAAATTCTGCCTATTAATTCTGCTTACCCAACCGACTACTATTATAAAATTGGAACAGGGCTCCCAAAGAAAATTATTCCCAAGAAATATGAAACTCCACCCAAGACCACAAAAGCTCTAATTGATTATATAATAATAATCTTGACAAACTATTGATAGTTCAAATATCAAATTGTGCTAAGCCCTTTGTAGGGTGGAAAGGGAGAGGGAGAGGAAAGGAATTAGAACTTCCAGCTGCTCCTCAAGAGATTCAGGCTCCATGACTAAGGTGGGAAGGGAAGGGAAGGGAAGGGAAGGGAAGGGAAGGGAAGGGAAGGGAAGGGACTGTCTCTTATACACATC